GGAAAACGAAAAATTCAGGAATTAATTGACAAGGTTTGCGTCTTCCTTGTGTAAGAGTCGCTTAACCGGAAGTGCCCTGCGCACTTTTTTTTGGTTCTTTAGTTCATTGATCCATTGACCGGAAAACTTCATAACTCAGCAAGCGAATTTTCTTCAAACCAATGTTAGTTTTGCTGTTTTAGTGCTGGAATTGTCCTCGAACTTTGTCATACACTATTGAAATTATCGGCCTATTCGTCATGCAGTTCATTTTGCGCTACAAGTATCGTGTACGTTGGCAGAAAGGTGCTCAGGTTTCCTATGTTTATTTCAATTTCGATGTAAAACGCAGTAATCCGGATGAAACAGCTAAATTATCTTATATCTTCCAAGGCGATAAAAGAGTCCATACGTAAGTTGTCGAACTTTTTTGTTTGTTTTTTCATGAATTTCCTAGTGTAAGAGTACCCAGTGATTTTGTCTAGAACCGATTTGACATTAATACCGCTGACATTTTTAAGTTAGCTATGCCTAAAATAGGCATGAAGGCTTCGGTTGTTAATTATACTGGGGCTGCAAATCCATTTCAGCACCTCAAATGCTATGAATTGAAGCTAATCCACGTATTCCAAACAGGTACTGTTTGTGTGCGTTCTTATTGCCAGTCACACATAGCGTTTTAGAATCTTCGCGATCTTTGTTTTTTAATATGTGTATTGTTTTGTCGATCTTCAGTGAAAGATTTCTTGCTTTCAGACCTGGTACCTCGCGCTATCATATTGGCTGGTTGCAACATTTTAATGAAAATCCAAGAAAAAATCCTGATATTTATTTCTCGGACAGAACGGGCTCAAATAGCGTATGGTATGAAACAAATTGAAACAAATATGTGAAATGAATTTTTCATAGCCTGATTTACCAAATCAGCTATAAGTTCAATTTAGCGCATTAATTTTCGTTTCAAATTTTTCACACCAAACTCAATTGCCTCTCCCTTTTCGCCTTCCGCCGGTATTTACTTTCTGTGAGTAGCCAGAAGTGACCATTTCTTGGAAACGCCGTCGAAAAATCCCTCCCTCGAGAGCTGCCTAGAAACAGCCTTATGACGGGTTTGAACCCTGGCTTACGCTAGCACCAGTTCTTCATCGAAGTAAATGAACAAAACTTAGAGGGATTGGTTGTCCCGTCGAACCCTTATTTTCAACATGAGGGTAGTGCTACTTGCTACCTCCCTCTGTTCGCTAGGAGTTCTAGCGGTTACTGGGATGTGGTTGATCCGTGAAGAGTACTAAACAAAGTTTAGAATGCTGTTTATTTTAAGAAAAAAGTCTTACAGTACTCGAG